TACTGTAGACACCAATCCACCGAACCGGAGAAGCATACGAATGCTCTCAAGCATACGAATGCTCTCAAGCATAAGAATGCTCTCAAACATACGAATGCTGTAAACAGCCAAATAGGAAAAACCATATGAATAGGTTTACACTCCTAGCAGTCGAACTAGAACAGCATACAATAAATCCAACCAAGAATGAGACAAGGCTCCATTTTGAGGGTCAAGCAGGAACAGACTGAGCTGTGTCTTTATTGGCCTTATATACACATTTTACAGACAGGGAACATCCAATCAAAACATACAACACAGATAAACACTCCCACAATAACATCACAATCCCTCCTCTCTATCCTGGAGATAATTGGGAAGTAATCCAATTATCTGCAAGGACATAGGCAAAACTCCATTAAGCACATGGCAGTAAAAAGACAGTAAAATACAATAAAATACACAAGGTTACATTTATTACATAAAATACAGACATGCAACATATCCCCAGATAGCTTAGGTCTGAGCGTACATTATTACTGAATGGCGCTCAGACAACACACATACAGTTCAATTGCCATGGAGCCAAAGTCTTTTATTACACGAATAGGCTCCATGGCATAGCTATCTGGGTTAAATGAGTTCATTCAGTAAATCCGTGAATGAACCGACTGCGTGTGAACTGCAGACTGCTGCCATCCAGTGTTCAGTATGCGAAGCCGTGACCACCCAGTATAGCCAATTAAGCTGCGGTTAACCGCAGCTACTGGGTGGTCAATTGGCGGCGCTCGTCGGCTTCTGGGAGGCCAATTAACGGCGACTGCCAGCTAACCGCGGCTCCTGGGAGGCCAATAGATGGCTGTTTGTTCAGTAGATAGAATCTACCGAACGCCCGGGCAGAAATACATGAATAGACCTTTCTGCATAGGAAAATAAAGTATTTAAATGCTGGTCCATAGTCAAAAGGCAGCAGGCAGGCAACCAGGCTCCTCCAATGCACAGTGGCAAAATTGGTCTCGTCACATCTCTCCCCTTTTCCAAACAGACTAACAGGGTTAGTCCAGCAGCCCACTCACAAAACAGAAACAGCAGCCCACCCACAATAAATGATTACTACACCTGAGTAAGGGAGAAACTTGTTCATGTCCAGGTGCCTCACCACGGCTGTGTGGGGGACTGGTAGGCTGCCTTGGTGGGTTGCTGAGTGGGCAGAGACCAGCGGTACTCTGCCCTGGTGCCAGCACTACCACAGAAGTAGCCTGGTTGGAGCCTGGTTGCTGGAGGGGGAGACCGACTGCCTCCCGTTTGGATACACAGCTCTGCTGCTGGAGGGGGAGACCGATTGTCTCCCCTTTGGACAAACCACCATGCTGCTGTGGGGGGGGAGACCGATTGTCTCCCCTTTGGCTAAACAGCCCTGTTGCTGGAGGACAGGACCGACTGTGCTGTAAGTGCAGAGACCATGGTCCCATCTGCACGGTTGTGGGGCTTACAGTCTCCCCCTGGAATGTTAAGCTGCCGCTGGGGAGAGGGGGTAACAAGCTCCTCTCCCATACATACTCCTAGCCGCTGGGGAGAGAGACCATTTGTCTCCGCTCCCAATACAGTGTCCTGGAGACTGGGCTCTCTGGACACTCTGCCGCTGGGGAGGGAGGACAAGGCTCTTCTCTCCCAATAAAAACACTCTGCTGCTGGGGGACAGGACCGACTGTCTCTGCCCCCTGCAGCTGGGGAAAGGAGACTGGGCTCCCTATTCCCTGCATATCACACTGCCACTGGGGAATGTAGACTGGGCTCCCAATTCCCTGCAGATCACACTGCCGCTGGGGAATGGAGACTGGGCTCCCTATTCCCTGCATATCACACTGCCGCTGGGGAATGGAGACTGGGCTCCCAATTCCCTGCAGATCAATCTGCCGCTGGGGATCTGGGCCGACCGCCAAGCATCCCTGTAGCTCACCCTGCCTCTGGGGAGGGAGAACGCTGTTCTCCTCTCCCTGCGGGGCCAGTGGAGAGACCTCGGTCCCATCACTACTGGCCAGGTGGAGGTCCTCCCAGTACACCTCGACAATATCCTCCCAGCTGAAGGGCTCTGGACCTGGGTCTGTCACGATGCTCTGCTGCTGGGTATCCTCGATGGAGCAGAACAGATGTTTGTAATCCTGTTCCAGTTCCCACTCCAGGGTTGCGATGTGTACCAAGCCTGGTCCCACTTTGTGGGGGTCATCCCAGTCTTGCATACCCTCCCTCCAGTCAAAGATATCATCGAACCGGGTCTCTTCAGGGCTCCCAAAGTCAGGTTCTTTGAAAGCCTCCCACAGCAAATAAGGGCCATTAAACTCCTCTCCCTACGGATTATCGTCCTCCACTGTCCAGGGTGTATACTGAACCGTATACCACCAGAGTGCCTGGTAGGCATCCTCTAGCCATAGCTCCTGCCATACCCGGTGCTTGAGCTCCTTTACCCATTGCTCCAGGGGCTGCTCTCCCAGGAAGGGCATCCGCAGTGCCAGTCGCATCTGCAATTGCTGCACTTCACTGGGGAGACTCTCGCCCCGCTGGTACTGTACATTATCCAGGGCCTTTCCTTAATGCATCCTGGCCATCCAGGTCCTCCTCCTCGTATAAAATGGCTGGTTCCATCCTTCTGCTGTCAGGGTCGCTGTACTCAGACATGCGTTGCCCTCAATTTATAGTTCCTGGGAATGGTGTCACCTTATAGCTGTCCTTCTGGGCTGTGGGAATGATCCCGCCGCTTGCCACCAATTATAAGGCACCCCAGGCATAAAAGGGGTTAACAGCCGTTTAGGAGATATTCCCTTCCAGATATACAGGCAGCTACTGTAGACACCAATCCACCGAACCGGAGAAGCATACGAATGCTCTCAAACATACGAATGCTGTAAACAGCCGAATAGGAAAAACCATATGAATAGGTTTACATTCTTAGCAGTCGAACTAGAACAGCATACAATAAATCCCCCCCAAGAATGAGACAAGGCTCCGTTTTGAGGGTCAAGCAGGAACAGACTGAGCTGTGTCTTTATTGGCCTTATATACACATTTTACAGACAAAGTCCCACCCACAGGGTTATGTGGAATATCCAATCAAAACATCCAACACAGATAAACACTCCCATAATGACATCACAATCCCTCCTCTCTATCCTGGATATAATTAAGAAGTAATCCAATTATCTCCAAGGACATAGGCAAAACTCCATTAAGCACATGGCAGTAAAAAGACAGTAAAATACAATAAAATGCACAAGGTTACATTTATTACATAAAATACAGACATGCAACGTATCCCCAGATAGCTTAGGTCTGAGCGCACATTATTACTGAATGGCGCTCAGACGACACACATACAGTTCAATTGCCATGGAGCCAAAGTCTTTTATTACACGAATAGGCTCCATGGCATAGCTATCTGGGTTAAATGAGTTCATTCAGTAAATCCGTGAATGAACCGCCTGCGTGTGAACTGCAGACTGCTGCCATCCAGTGTTCAGTATGTGTAGCCGCGGCCACTCAGTATAGTCAATTAAGCTGCGGTTAACCGCAGCTACTGGGTAGTCAATTGGCGGCGCTCGTCGGCTTCTGGGTGGCCAATTAATGGCGACTGCCAGCTAACCGCGGCTCCTGGGAGGGCAATAGACGGCTGTTTGTTCAGTAGATAGAATCTACCTCCCACAAATTTGGTGATGTTATTATAGGAGGAGACAAATTTTCTTCTAGATATTTCCCTAGATACTACATAGATGCAATAATTCTAGATACTACATAGCTGCAGCTAAAAAGATAAGAGAAGCAGCGTAACTTAGATGCAAACAGGTAATTCAAAAAGACTTCCTAGACCTATGGATAATCCTCCACCCTACATAATGAGACTATGCCTTCCAGTTACATGTACACAACACCTACACTAGAATTGAAAGATTTCTTACACCTTCCTCTATTATGTACACGATCCAAGAGATTAACATAGGTCTGATCTCGTGGTCAGATCATGCCCTGGTTGTATTGTCCCTACGTGAACATATTCCCAATACTGGCAAAGGCACATGGAAACTTAATGACATGCTCCTTAAAGATCCAGAAATAGTCTCTACCATTCATACGGCACTCAACTTTTATTTTACCGTTGATAGTAACCCAGACACTAGCACGGAAAACTTATGGCGGGCACACAAAGCAGTGATTCACTGTCTGTTTTTTTTAAACATGCTATTTTTTTTCAAAAAAGAACTCAAAATTACACCACCTTAATTCAAGAACTGACCAGCTTAATGCATGAAAACTAAAAACAAACCCCTCCCCTCTACTAAAACCAAACCAAACTTGAACTTAGAGAAACAGAACTGGAAAAAATTACTTACCTTCTCAAACGTTCCAAATTTAACTTATTTGCCCAAGGCTCAATCTATGAATGCTAAAATAGGATTCATACAGACTGACCCAAAGACCAAAATTATGAACCCGCAAGATATAGTCAATGCATTTGCACCTTATTATAGAACATTATACAACCATAAAGATGAACCACACAACAGACCCCCTACTAAACAAGTTATACATTCCTTCTTATCAGATGTAAATCTTCCTATAATTGACACAAGCCAATATAGACAACATAACTAAACCCTTTGATAACCTTGTGGTAAAACATACAATACAAATGCCAAAACACCAAAGCCACGAGACCAGACGGATATATGAATCTATACTACCAAACATTTGTAAACACCCTTACACCACATTTAACAAATCTCTTTAACCCATGCTATTCTATTGGAAAACTCCCCAGTGACATGTTAGTGGCACACATTTCCTCCTTGCCAAAGCCAGATAAACCACCCACTTGTTGCCAAAACTTCTGACCAATCTCACTTTTAAACAATGATGTAAAACTATATGCTAAGATCCTGTCATGATCTTGTGGAGGTCAGGGATGAAACTGAAACTGTGTTAATTTTAAGGTCTTTATTTGTTATCTTAGACCAGGGATAGGCAAACTTCGGCACTCCAGATGTTGTGTCTACATCCCCCATAATGCTGGCAAAGCATCATGGGAAGTGTAGTCCAAAACATCTGGAGTGCCAAAGGTTGCCTATGCCTGTCTTAGACATTCTAGTAAGAACAGGATATCCTATAATTGCACGGAGCCTATGTAACAAAATGGGGGAACTAGAGGCAATAGCATACACTAAACAATATGATATAATAGGCATAAGAAAAACATGGTGGGATGAGACACATGACTGGGCAGTTATGAAGGTTTACTGGTGAGATATATACTTACTAGATACACATAGTAATACTCTAGCGCAACATCTTTTTCTGGATATTGGATTGTTTTACACATATTTGGTTATTGCTGCTGATTTCTAAGATCTCTATTATCATAAATACTACACTTTTTACCAAACCCGTTTAGCGCTATCCACTACTTTGGGTTAACTGTTTCCTAAACACACTGTTGGAATACTAGAAGTTGTGTTGTTGCTTCACTACTTTGTGTGTTTTGTGGGAGCTTGCTTAATATGGCCATTTGTGAGGCAAGAGCAAAGTATTGTTCCAATTTGGATTAAATATTTGGTGAAGAAATTCTATATACTGCACCAAAGATCCCTAAAATAATCCCAAAACTGTGTAAAGATCTACAAAAATTACTAATACGAGAACTAAAAATAAAGTGGGAAATAGCCACTTTGGAACAATACATTAAGGAGGGTATGGCACCCAGATGGTTAAGGTTTTTTAAGATGCCAACGTTTGATAGGGACAATGAAGAGTTTATGGAGGAATGGGAACAGTATCTAAACCATGTTTAATAGATCATTATTAAAAGGAGGCAGATAAATCTGAGATAAATAGATGTCAAGATTAGAGAGACCAAAGAGTTACTTCAACCTTTTCTCAAATCTAGAGATATGGAACAAAGCTCCACAGAGATCATGGAAGAAATGAATAGAACAGAAAAAGAAGTGATTAACATAAAAAGGAGGAAATACTTGAGAGATAAAAGGGACTATCAAGAAAAACAGGTTATTACATTTTCAAAGAGAACATCGGGAGGGAGAATAAACAGAGGCCTTATAGAAACTGATAACATACGGAGAAAAGTGAGAATACCAAATGAGAGGGAACATAGTAGTTCTAGGCTCCATAACAGCCAGAGATATTATAACAAGGTCAAAAGAAGGGACTCATCGAGAAAGAATTCGTCTCCAGGGATAGAGTACGGAAGGGACCCCCAAATTTCCCAATGAATATGGAAAAATAAATAAGAGAGAGGAATAGGGCTAGGAAAACCTCTTGGGAAAGAAATAACAGCAACAGACAGAAACTAAATGTAAATAACAAAGAAACCCAGAACAACAGAATCTCAACAGAAAACAGATTTAAAGTCCTAGATCAAATAGGAGAAACTGGGAATTTTTTAGAATGGGAACGGAAAAGGAAAGAAAGAATAAGATTAGACGTTCCGAACATTTCACAAAAAAGAATAGGAAGGGACATAGAAGAGGCACAAGAGGAGGATGGAGGATACAGAGAAGGAAAAAGGGGAAGAAAATAGAGAAAACTGGAACTTTTAATCTATCTAAGAAAACGCTAACATGCAAAATAGAGTCTTAGCGAAAGGGCTTAAATTTTGCCCTACCAGTAATTTGGACCACTTTTCTACCTTTAATAATCTTAAAAAAATGTATACGCAAGTTATGTTTAAAAAGGTTTTTTAAAGAGAAAACTCTAACGAATACACAAGAAAGAGAAATAGGAATAGAAATCACAGATAGTGTACATACCCAGCTTAAAAATAAATCTACTTTCTTTCCTAGAGCGTGTAGAACAAATGCCATGCTGGCCTTTGAGGAGCTAGTAAAGAGAGAAGTTGAAAAGATTGAAAGGGTTAATAAATATAAGATGAATTTAAAAAGGGAGGAAAGTAAAGCCCTTCAAGAACTAAAAAAGGATGAGGAGATTATTATCAAGCCGGCTGACAGGTGGGGGGCGGTGGTTATGGACAAGGAGTATTATTTAGAGGAATCCCTTAGACATCTACAAGATGGAACCACTTACAAGAAGTTAAAAGGAGATCCCACAAAAGAGATTAAAAAAACGTTTGTGGAATTTCTGGACAGGGGCTTACAATTGGGGATCTTAACAAAGAAAGAATACGACTACCTCATGGTTATATATCCAAAAATCCCAGTATACTATTTTTTGCCTAAGATCCACAAACATGAGACAAGACCACCAGGCAGACCAATTATTTTGGGGATAGGGTCTATATCGGCCCCTATATCGGAATATATAGATCAATTCCTTCAGCCACTTGTCAAAAATACGCAGGCATATTTAAGAGACACAGGGCCTATTATTCAGGTACTGCAGGAGGTAGAGTGGAGGGATGGGGACATCTTAGTCACAGCGGACGTCTCCTCCCTCTACAGCATGAGAAGGGAATAGAGGCAAGTGCATATTTTTTAAGTTTAACACAACTGCCCCAAACTCAGATAGCCTTTGTTTGGAAGGGATGAATTTAATTTTGAATCATAATTATTTTTATTTTATGGACTCTTTTTATGTACAGACACTAGGTGCGGCGATGGGGACCAGGTTCGTGCCCAGCTATGCCAACCTTTTTATGGCATATTGGGAGAAGCTCTATACATATGGGGCGCATGGCTGGGCGGGGAATCTGGTCACCTATCGCCGGTACATCGATGCTCTATTTCTCATTTGGAGAAGGTCTGAAGAAGACCTCCTACTATTCATAGCTTACTTGAACTCAAATTCCTGGGGCATTAAACTCACCATGGACTATAGTGCAACACAGGTCCACTTTTTGGACTTGGAAATATACATCAGAGATGGACAGATATGCACTCGCACTTTTTTAAGTCTGTTGATGTTAACAGCTTTATTTTTTCGGATAGCTGTCATTACGGTCCATGATTGAGAAATATCCCTAAAGGACAACTTCTGAGAGTAAGAAGGAATTGCTCCCATTTGGAAGAGTTTGCACAACTGGCAGAAAAACTTATGGGGGACTTTAAAGAAAAAAAATCAGAAAGTGCTTTAAAGAGCATCCCCTGTCCTCACATTTCCTTAAAGAACATCAAGGAGATCCCAAACTATTGACCTTTTTAGGGATTGAAAAACTTTGAGTTGTGCCACTTTTTATGATTTATCCCTTTAAGAGAAAGACTTTATATAGAGTCTTCCTCTAAGCAACTTTTAGAAAATTAGGGATTTGGTGATTGGTATGGTCTGTCTTTCTGAATATATTTGCTTATTGGCTTATGGATTGAGTAAACATAACATTCTATATTGAGGTTTTTCATCCTTTTTTGTGGTTGCATAAAACCAATGGCTGGTTATAACATTATTTATTGAATAGATTCGGATTTTGCATTAATCTTCAACATATATGATTTAGGGATGTTAGATTTGGATATGCTCAGTAGAGATTTGCATCTTCATTTTACATTGCCTCTTTTTTTATTTAGGCGATAATCCCCCTTTTCTTAATTATTTTTACTTGGGTGATAATCCCCTTCTTCACTTTAGAAGGATTTTATTTATTTACTTTTTCCTCTGTATCAAGTTTATATATAGCCTGGAGGTTAATACACTTCTATCTTTTTACAAGACATATTTTTAAACTTTACCATGTTTAGTAGATAGTCCCCTTACCACCCTAAAGCCAATATATAATATAAGCAGAAAAGACAAATGTTAATATAAGATTGGTGACTGCAATATAAGATAGAGAATAATGATGTTTTTCTTTATTTCCTCATATGTATACTTATTATGTTAATGGATGAGATGTATATATGGTGAGCTGTAACTGTTTAGAATCATAAGAGCACCATTAGGATAAACAAATGTGAGCAAGAGATGAGGGACTTAGAAGATGTGTGAATCCAACCAATGAGAAACAAAGGGGGGCGAAGCTTTGGATACAAATGGACCTCAAGCAGGTCACATGGGTCACATGGGCGGAGCCAGGACCAGGAACAAGGAAGTGACAGGAGCAATTGACTATTAACCCCTTAAGACCGCAGGGCGTTCTATGCTGTCCTTATTTAGATGGCTCTAAACACCGCAGGGCGGCGTAGAACGCCCTGCGATCTTATATACTTACTCAGTCGCCGGCGATCCCACGCCGGCGATCGCGGTATGGAGACTCATCTGGGAGCCCAGGGAGTCCCCCTTTCGTCCTCTTCGGCCCCCCTGGGCCATTTGATCGTGAGGTCCTTGCGAGGACCTCACGATCACATGGACGGCATAGCCAGCAGGAGGAATGCATGTAATGAGGGACTCCCCCTGCTGTCTGAAATAAAAAATAAAACAGTTTAAATCAGTGTAAAAATAAATAATATATACTTAGATTATATATATATATATATACATATATATATATATATGTGATTTAAGTATATATACACACATACACTAAGTACATTTTAATATTAATATATACATAATTATATATATATATATATATATATTATCAAAATACACGTTCAATCATATTGATTAAATATATATATAATTTTCATTATATATATATATTTATATATAATAAAAAATAAATATGTAAATACGTTAAATAATAATGGCGGTCTCTGTTCGGCTCACGAAGGGCTGGGACAACCATCCCCGGAGCGATATTCGCGCAACTGTTTATCCGTGACTCGCTCCAGAGGTTTTAGGGCCAGGTCCCGCTCTCCATACACCTGCCAGAAAACATGGCTTCCATCTCGAGTTCGGGACAAAAAGACACAAAAGTACTTTGTATGGAAAAGACTGGCTATACCGTTCGTGAGATCTGAGCGCTATTCGCCTATCTGCTGTGCTCAGATCTGGGCTATCCAACGAATGGTAGAATATAAAATGTGTCTATTAAAATGTTACAATTATGTATTTTTATACTGTTTTACCTGTTACAATAACACGTGGGATTTTGGGTGCTTGGAGATAATTAAATTGCCATCACCGTTAGAGTCATTATCTCCAAGCTGGGCGGTGACCATTTCAAATGATACACTATAATGCCATTTGTCAACTGTTTGTATTGTCCCTGTAT